CACCTCGAGCAAAAGTTATTTGTTAATTTTCATGGAAGGCTGTTACTTTTAGGTCCTTAAATGATGTAATATTTCTATTTTGCATTATTTTGGCCAAACATTACCAGCCATAACTTTGCAAATAGAATAACTCGCTTTTATTTCGGTTGCTGAAAATAACATTTACAATCATGTTGACTCGCGGCATACAAGGGACGTCTTAAGAGGAAATAAATTTGAGCGCTTGCCATAACATGACAATTGAATCTACAATAAGAGTATTTCCTTCAGTTGCAAGGCAGTGTGGGGTTTCGTTTCCATTTTCAAATTGCTATTTTTCAAACACAGTTAGCAACCAAAGCTCATCAACCAGAAATGACTTTTTCAATAATGATTTTCGCAAGTAATCATGGATCACGATAGTTACTTAATAAATATTTAGAAACAACTTAAGGGGCCATTTTCATGATAACTTGTGACCAATAAAAAACGCTGTGATCTGTTTGAAGGTGATATACATCTATAACTCGCTTATGGGTGGCTTAGTCAAGATTTCAATTAATTCCTAAAACCGCTTTTTAAATCAACCGAGATTTACGAAATGCGTAGATGAAATCGTTTTAAAAAACGTTTCAAAGAAATGCGATGTGTCAAACATCAGATACACTGCCTTTGTGCGATCTCTTTCCTTTTTTTCTTAAAAAACTGCTCAGTGTAGGATTTTAAAAAAATTCAAAAAATTGTCCATCTGCCTCAGCATTTCTCCTGACCGCTGCTATTAACGTTAACTCCCTAGAGTGTGGTTCACTAATTCACAAGCAAGGTTTCTATTATCTAAATGCGTGAATGGGCAATCTCAAATTGGAATAACTAGGTAATAAACACCTATGGTAAGTACGTGGTTTGCCCCACACAAATGTGGCTTCTTAAAACGCTCTGTCGCCAATGACTACCACGACATTATCCCCTGACAGTTCTGATACATGTCCCACTGCAAATTGCTGCGAGGAATGAGTCAACAAGTTGGTAAAGTTTTGAGTGTTAGGGATGTTTTCATTCCTCTTTTTCTGAAGACTTGTACGTAAAATGGTAATATTTCTGCATTGTCTTCATGCACATCGATAATTGGTAATTTTACCGAGATTTCTTTAATTCATAATCTCTGTTAACTTTTATATTATCGGAAAATTCAACAGCTTAGGTCTCTTTTTTGATGTATGAGAGATTGACAGAAGAGATTAGGGAATTGTAACATTAACAGCTAGCTACAGGTGATTTTCAATTATACAAAACGATAAGTATGAATTTAAAGTGAGCAATCAGTTTTCAGTTCGCGTTTAAAATTTACCTTTGATTCTCAAATCACGTTTACTTCCTTTAAAAGGAAATATGTCTGGATGAAAGATGCTGCTTAGCCACCCTACTTTCCAGAGCTGTGAATAAGGACACAAAGGAGTATACTACTTTGGGTGTTACACATATAGAAAAGAGAATATGAATTCGTTTATATTTAAACTCTGGATTGAATAGAGTGATATTGAAAGAGTATTAAGATAACTAAGGTCAACAATGAAAGTTTGCCTCGTGATCTGTAGTTGCAGTGAATTGTAGATCGCATTCTACTTCCTAAGTCTTCGTCAGGGGAGGATTTGAAATGAATACGATTCGTATCT